TCTCCCGTTTTCAAGCTAAATTTTACACACACATCAAGATTAGATTCACACCTTTAATGGAATTCAGAGTTATCTTAGGGATACTAGGATGAGAGAAGCAAATACTATGCCAGTCTTTCGAGCCTTAATGTCTCCCAGAACCCAAGATTGCTATTATTAAAAAAAATTCTCCAGTCTTTAAGCTAAATTTGCAAATGTCAAGCCTAGATTCACAACTGTCATGAGAATGGGAATGGTTAGAACAAATCATCACCCCTCTTGTAGTCTTTTACTAAAATGTGGTAACCTTTGATTTTCTTAATTCTTGTTTCCTTATGATGCACTAAATTTAAGTCTGGGTTTAGGGGCAGCAAGATCCCAACCTGTCTTGTCACAACAGCCTTGTCCTTCGTTGAGTCTTACACACCCATGCTATCACGGCTTCTCCTGAGAAATGCGCTGATTTCCCACCTTTAGCCAGTTTCTGTATTTCACCCCAGCCAATGCAAAGATGGTTTCTAGATTTTTAAACTTCCTTTTGGCATGGCACATGAAAAAGAAAAGCAACATGTCCCCCCAGTAACCAAGGCTCCTGTGTGCCCAGGAAAAACTGTTTACGGCACTTTTTTTTTTTTTTTTGGCCTGCAGTTAATACACCACAGCATTTTTAGAAACCTCACAGAAAGAAGAAGCAAAAGCTGTTGAAATGTGAAAATAATTAAAGACTTTCCCAGGGAACATGCAGGGCCTGCACAGAGGGAAGAACAAACACCAGGGGGGCTGTGCAGCTGGAAAGTCCTTGTTTATTTCTCAAGAAAAGAAATCAAGTTGGAGGAAGGATGTTGCCGAGCATGCACAATGCTAAACATAGGTCCAGGTAACAGGGAAGGAGACATCCCAGCCCATAAATTTAGAGTGTGAAGCAAAGAAGTTTTTCTGAGGGCCCTGGTGGCCTGGGATCCTGCCCTGATGTCTTCCAAAGCCATCTGGCTCCCACTGTGGCCCTGTCTCCCCAAGGGCACCACATCCCAGGTGTTCCTTGCAACGGTCACCTCTTCAAAACAGCATTGCTTTGAGTAAGGACTTCTGCAAGAAGTCTTAGGGTCGGCTGATTTCAAAAAGAAAATGAAAAAAAATCAGAGCACTCACTTCCCTCTCCGTCTCTAGCTGAACTTTCTGCAGCAGCCCAGTGCAAACAGAAACCACCAGGCGTGCTCAGCGAGGCGCGGCCAGAGCCAGGCCAGCCCAGGAGGCTTCTGCAGGAAATTCCCACAGACCAGCGCGCTCGGGTGGGGAGCTCCCTTGGCCTGTTCCCGCCCTGGGTTGTGGGCAAATTTGCCTGCAAAAGGTCATGGCTGACCCGTTGCTGGCTGAGGGAGTTTTCTTCAGGCTCAGACCTCGGATTTCTGGGAATTCGAAGTTCTATTTCCAGAGAATTCTCTTTTCTGTTCAACACACAGGAGCCCCTGAAAACTCTGAGCCTATTAAAGTCTGAGTAACCTCAAAATGAGTAAATGTAAGGGTCTGTGTCAAACCAGCTGCTGCTTTAACAAACTTCTGGCATGGAGAAGGACCAAAGACTTGAAAGTATAAGAGCGAGAAAATACCATAGCGAAAATGAAATTAATGCTTCTCTATCTTTGGTCCTTTCTCTCCCTGTGCTGTGAGTGAAGGGGATTTCCGGTGACTTTCATCAAAGGGTAAGATCAGTCTAGTGTGGTTAGAAACTACCCCAACCACCTAGCTATGGTATTTTTGCCTTGCTTTAGTGTTAATATTACAAAAGATATTCAATTTTGACCATCTCCTTTTTTTTCACTTTTTCAGGATACATTTTCTTTTTTTAAAACTTTATTTCATTATTTTATGATACAGTTCCATAAGCTCTGTAATTTCCCTCCCCCGCCCCAAATCCCTACCCCCACGCTCCACTGATTTCCCCTATATCATTACAAAAGTATAGTCCTTAATAAACATTGAGCATCTACTTGGAGCAGGGAGATGACCAGGTTACTTTTCGAGGAGGAAATCCTAACTCAAAGAAGTGAAATGACTTGCCAAGCTGACTAGGCTGGTGGGGACACCTAGGACAAGCACTGAGGACTTCTGACATGTTCAGATATGTTCAAGGGCTATTTCAAGGGCTCTACACCGAATCCCTCCCCATCCTGACGTCTTCTTCTACTTTCTTTTACTTGCTATGTTAGTTTCCTACTGATGCTGCAACAAATTACTGCAAGCTTGGTGGCTTACAACAGTGCGTATTTCTCCCTGGGTGGTTCTGGAGCCCCATCAGGCCGGTGGAGATCATCTAGGTGCTGGCAGAATCCCATACCCTCCAGGGGCCTGCACCATGATCCACTTCCTTGCCTTGTGCAGCATGTAGCACTGAGTCCTGTAGCTCACCGGCTCACAGTGCTTTCATCCGTCTTTACCGCCTCTTCTCCCCGATTCTGTTTTCTGCTTCCTCCTTCGGACATAAGGCTTTCTGCTCTTCTTAACTCTGCTTCCGTAGACCCATGGCTTTCTCTCTTGTCTGTGTCAAATCTCCTCCACTTCTCTGTTGCAGGACACATGTTTACATTTTGTTTCCCTCTACATAATCTGTAACAATTCCCTCAACTCATGACCCTTTTTTCCATGAAAGCAAGATTCAGGTTCAGGGGATAAGGACTTGTTAACTTGAGAGAATATTCCCTAGTCTACCATACTTTGTTTCTGAAAATTATACTGGGCAGAATTTCTCCAAAAGCCCAAGTAAGGTTGGGCTTCTCACACACATTCCCTTGTCTGGTCTCCATGGTGACCATGAATGCTACACGTTTGCATATTCCTTTTCTGTTGTCCAACTTTGTGTGCTACTGTCACATCAGACTAGTCCTTTCCATTCTCTTAACTGTGCAGTGTCATGGAAAAGCACAACACAGGCATTGGCAGACCGATGATAAAGTCCAGGAAGTTAAATTCAGAGAGAACGAAAAGAAGCAATGGATAGGGAGAAGTTATTTAGGAATGCCAAGGACTGTCCACTGGATGCCAAGCCATAGAAGCCCACTGGAATTCAGACGACAAAAGGATCCTGCAAGCAGGGAAGGTCACAAAAGACTTCCTGGAGAGATTGGCTCTATTAAGTTTGGAGTGCTACACAAAATTTGCAACAAGTAGCAGAATTACTGTCCTCATTTACTCCTTACCACAAGCTAGAATGGAGCGTGGCACATGTTTATACGTGAGAAAACTGAGGCTTGGTGAAAGAAATTCTGCCTCTTGCTCAGTTTTACATTGGCAAAGCTGAGATCCAGCTTTAGAACATCTAACTGGGCTATATCCCTGGCCTCAAGGCTCAGCAAAGGAGGCATAATCAGGGTTCCCGGTAGACCCAGGGAAGGAGAAACCCACCTTGCAACCAGCAAAGAAACAGAATGGTAATGATACTAACAATCAGAGCAGCAATGTTTCCACCCTGGAAGCCCGCAGATTGTGGCAGGCTTGCAGATACATGTTGAGAGGGGCTCACTGAAGTCTGAAAGAAAACTAGAAATCCATCCAGGCAGTCAGACGTCAAACACTGGCCAAGAGGTAGATTTTCATTTCTGCCTGTTACAAGTCAGCTGCCCTGATACGGAATAGAAGCTCCCACTCCCTTCCAGACTTAGTCTCCAGGCTTCTACAGGCGTGTGATTTGAAGACTCCCTGACAATACTATCGTGCAACCTCCAGGCTCCCATTTTGCGAAGCAAAACCAGACTTTCTCTACCTTCAGTGTTCTAAATTATGAATGAAGTTCTAAATTATGCCAACATGCAGAGTGAAAACAAGACACAACACGATGAGGCAAGCTCTCCTGCAGACAGCAGCACCCATCACTTCCCTTGCAGCACGGGTGTCAGTGTTTGAGAGGAAGGGGAACTCTTGCCAGATGCCTCCAGTGTTAGTGGACACCACGTGTTCACATTGCTCAGTTGTCACAATCCTCAGAAAAATGCTGAAAAGATCATGACAATGTCTTTCCATGGTTGTTGATAAAATGAAATAAAACCATGAGAGTAAGGAGCCTGACATTTAGGATCAAGATAGCCATTTTCATAGAATCCAAGACCATTTTGAGCATCAATAAGGCTCCCAATGTTTTAGGCAGATGCCCTGTCATCGCTCTATTATTATCATTAGCCTCTCAACTGGACCTGGGTGAGAGGTATTAGGCAAGTGGAAGAAGCCACGAGTCATGTGAGGGTGCTGCAGCAGTTTGCTCCCTCTGCAAGAGGTCCTCCATTTTTGTCTAGTTGTGGAAACCGCCCCAGACATACTGGAAAAACAAAAATGAAAGCAAATCACAGCATTTTCATAGGTTTTGCCTTTCCTTCCCCCACATATTGTTTTTGGGAAGGGCTGTGTGAGCCACAGCGCTGCCAAGAAAACAGGGTGGTTTCCCTCGACCACTGGCCACCAGGGGAATGTGTGCCTTTTCCGAACCTTTGGTGTACAAGCCCACAAATGATTTTTAAAAGTCACAAAATACTTCTCTCTAAATAAACCCTTATGCTTTCTGCTGTGGAGCTTGGAAGATGAGTTTCCTCTTCTCAAGGCCCTTAGGGCTCACTTCCTCTCCATAGAGGAAGGGATATTCCGGGGAATCACCCACCAACACATTTTCCATCAGTACAGCAATGGCAAAGCTCCAGATCTTTTATTTAAACAACCACCCTGCCCCCTCAGAATACTCCATCTTCACTCTCCCCAGAGATTTTACTTTGGCTTCCCTGACTGGTTTTCCAGAACCTGACAGATTAACTATTTATAAGTAGCCTGGGCAGTGGACATCAGGTGAGTTTTGAATCCAGAGACCTTGGTTGCGTGACTCTAGACAAAGCAGACAATTCCACATGTATCAGTCAATTACTAAGCATCTGTGTGTCTGCCAGCTTCTTCACCTGTACTCTAAATAGTCTATAACTCATGGTACTGTGGTGAGAATTAAATGGGAAAAAAAAACGCACTTAGCCTAAGCACACAGTGGGAATTCAATAAATGGCCATTGTGAGCAAGCAATTCTCCACGTAACTAATTAATACCAGGCCACTGGATTTCAGAAACAGATTTAATGAAGATGTCATAAAGATGGGCAGGGATAACAGAGCTGGTAAGGTGCTGAGGCACTCAGATACCTAAAACAGAGAGAAACAGCTACCAACCCTGGGCCTAAAGGGACAAGGGGAGGGCAAGTGTTGCTGGAGCCCAGAGAGGCTAATCCCAGAAGAAAGACCGTTGGCGAGAGCCTCAGTTATTTCACAGCACAGTCACTGACAGACCCTGCAAAGAGGAGGGTTAGAGAAGTGTGCCCTACTCCTCACCCCTCACCCTTTCATCTCTATCTGTTGACTGCCACTGGCCAAATCCAACATGGAGACAGAAATCAAGCGAGAATCTCGATTCCATCGTAGGGTTCAGCCTCTCTAGGACATCATGAAGGCCAGAGCATGAACCTGAGTAGAAAGGAGGTGAAAACACAGACTCACCTGTCAGGAGGTTCCTTGTGATTCTCAAAGAAGCTGTATGAGCATGCCAATCACAAATAGAACTCCCTCATAAATCTTAAAGCGGTGCTTGTAATCACATCAGTTCAGATACTGCTCCCTGGGGCAGAAGAAAACAAGCCTTTCAATGCACCAATCTTTTTCCAGGCCCACTGCCCTGACTCCTCCCACCTCTCTGCTATACAGACCTTGGGATGCTTGAAACCTTCTCTGCTTCCCACATCTAGTTTCATTCGAAACCCGCGATTGGTAAAACTACTGCAACTTTTCACCAATAGTTCGCCACTTCTTTCTCTGCTTGGCTCATTTCTTGAAGATTTCTTCCAACTTTGGGCCAGTCACTGCCTTCTCTGGGTTCATTGCTAACCCTCCCTCCTCCATGTTCCAAAAAATAGGCATAGAATTGTGCAAGCAGGACTCTGGGGCCAGGCAGTCTGCTGTTCTAGCTACACCATTCCTAACTGCTGCCTCAAACTCCCTGTATCTCAGCCTCAGAATGTGTGTCAACTTGGGCAACTTGCTTAGTAAGCATGCAGTAAGCATATATGGCTCAAAGTCAGCCTTTATTTTTCATTACTAGTGTACCATTGTACTTTCTTTGTGTTATTTGATTCCACCATGAGCTCTGTGAGCAACCCAAGGACAATATCCCTCTGTGTGTTCCTAATGCCTGACATACAGTTGATATTCTATAATTAGTGAGTGGAGGAATGAATGAATGAGTGACTGTATTGTGTGGTTATGATAACTGAAAGTGGGTTTTGGGAACCTGGCCTTTGCTTTCTTGTGAAGCATACTGTAGGCCATTTCTTACGGATACAAAGAGCTAAGAAGTCAGTTGCTAAATGTCAGATCTGCCTAAAGTCAGGCAAGATCACCCAGAAGGAACTCTCTCCAGTAGGTCTCATTTAGGTAGGGCACTGCCCTGAGCAGCCAGCTAGTTGCTAATCTAACCATATGATGTAGCAGCTTCCTCCACCTTTATATTTCTTCCTCTTACAACAGACTCCAGGGGTAATGATGGCATCAGTGTCAGAGCCCCCACTGGTGCTGGAGAAGATACAAGCCTTCCCCTGTCCAGTCAAGGCCACCATCAAGTCTTGAGAAGAAAAGAGATCTGATCAGAGAATCCATGCAAGAGGGAAACCCAGGAGCTCTGTCCACAGAAACCCCGACTCACTTCTGAGCTTGCAGGCCTCCCTGTTGTCTTCCATCCATCCTTTTACTCTCTTCAAAACTTGCCCCAACACAAAACAGTTCAAGAAATAAGGTGTGAAGTCCTAGAACCTCCTCATGATCTGTTTGGGAGTACCCTCTCTGCCTCATCTTCCTGACTTTCATCCTGGTTCACCCTATTGTAGGCAGTGGTCATTTGGAGGAACAAGCACATTTGGTGTATCCTGTAATATAAGGCTCTTGTCGCAGGCATCCTCTTTCACTTAACAGATGCTTTTTCGTTTTGAAGTTTTTACTTTCAATTATGCTGAAACAATCCTATCATAAAGCTTACCATTTGAAACATGTTCGAGGATATGGTTCAGTAGCATGAAGGACCTTTATACTGTTGGGCAACCATCAACACCATTCATCCCCAGAATCTTATAATCTTGCAAAACTGAAACCCTGTACCCACTGAACAATAACTCCCCAACTTCCTCTTCCCTATCCCCGATCCTAGCAACCCATATTCTGCTTTCAGTTTTTGTGAAGTTGACCGCTCTAGTTCCCTCTTATGAATGGAATCAGACAGGATTTGTTCCTTTGTGGTTATTTTGCTTAGGATAAGACCAGCAAAGTTCCTTGCATGGTAGCATATGCCAGAATCCCCTTCCTTTCTAACACTGATAATCCATTCTCCAGATATACTAATTTCTGTTTATCCATTATTGTATAATAGACACCTGACTTGTCTCTACTTCTTAGTTACAAGGAAGGATGCTGCTATGAATATTAGTAGATAAATATTTGTCAGTTCCCTCCTTTCATTTCTTGTGGGTACACATTCAGAGGTGAAATAGTGCAAAAGGTATTTCCTTATTTTTTCAGGAATGGTGTTGCCCATAGACTATATTATTTCACATACCTAACAACGTACAGAAATTCCAATTTCCCTCCATCATGGTTGAAACATGTTTTTTTATGTTTTATTTCCTCCCTTTTAAAAAAATTATTTATTTCACTTGAAAGAGTTACAAGGGGGTGGGGCGCGGAGGGAGATGCAGAGACAGATTTCCATCTGTTAGTTCACTCAACAAATGGTGACAATAACCAGAGTTGGGCCAGTTCAAAGAAGCTGGGAATCAGGAGTTTGTTCTGTGTCTTCCACATGAGCACAGGGCCCAAGGCCTTGATCCATCCTCCACTGCTTCCCCAGGCCACCAGCAGGGATCTGGATCCAGAATGCAGCAGCTGACACTAAAACAGCACTGTAGGTGGAAGATAAGGTTGCTCTAGCAACCTGCTGGCCCTCTTTTCTCCTTTTTAAAATATTTTAGAAATTTATTTGGGGGTGGGGGGAAGGTGGAGAGAAAGAGAGAGAGAGAGAGAGAGAGAGAGAGAGAGAGAGAGAGAGAGAGAGAGGGAGAGAGAGCTGGTTCAGTATCCCAAATAGCCACTACAGCCAGGCTGAGCCAGTTTAAAACCATGAGCCTGGTACTACATTTAGGTTTGCCACATAGATGGAAGGGACCCAAAAACTTAGTTCATTTTCAGTCGACTTCCCTGGTGTGTTAGCAGGGAGTTGGATCAGAAGCAAGGAAACCTGGATCTGAATCATCACTTAGATGGGATATTGGTATTACAGGTGGCAACTTAACATGCTGTGTCACAGCACCAGCCCCTCTCTTCTCCTTTTCTTGGCAGTGTTCTAACAAGGTAATGCTTCACTGAGGTTTTTAACCCGCAGTCTATGTGTATCAACTATGACCTGGATGTAAACTGGATAACAATCAGGGTATGCACTTGGAGCCCAGTTTGCGCCCACCGAAAGAGAAAGAGTTGTAAAATAAACCTAACTTATGTCATAAATAGTACTAGGCCCTTATGGGTATTCACTTAATCATCATTACTGTGTCCCTAAGGTGATTTTAATTACTCTATTTTAGTGAAGCAACAAAGATGTACTCAAGTTCAATGATTTGCCTCCTGATTGGAGATACAATATATGTGATGGAACTGAAAACACATGGTCTTCAGACTTTAGAGCCTATGTTCTTTTCTCTATGACAGTTGTTCTTTGAGTAGAAAAATATAAAAATAACTTTGAGGCACCAACAGAGCATTGCCAACTTTTAAACAAGAGCATTGGAAAGCAATTAATTTGCCATCTAATGTGACTATCCTTGCATGAAAAGAAATTTTAACCACAGTCTTTGGAAAAACTGACACAATCAAGGAAGGATTATTCAACTGAAGAAACTGCTTTCTGAGAAGTTTGCTCCACTGTTTGATGGTGAGAGTTGTGCCTCAGACCATGTCTACCCTTTGGCTTGTAATGTCAAGCAGTCCAGATTCACATGGCTAGGATAGATGCTGTAGGAGATCTCAGGTCACACAGGCGTCCACCTTCAGAAACAGAAGGAATTCCTGCCTGGGGCAGGAAGAAGTAGTGTCCTCACATGTCCAGCTGCTCGGCAAGATTCATCACATCCCTCCATGTCTACCACATTCATGACCTCCTTGGCTCAGGTCCCATCTTCTAAACAGAAGTAAAGACTCCTACATAATAAAAGCCATCAAAGACAAATGCGAGAAGTGAGACAATACTGAGAACATAGTTGCTAGGTATATGAAGCAAACACAGGGTTGTATTCAGAATACACAAAAATTCAGGAAGTAAATCAGGAAGAGGAAAAAGAGAACAGCTACATGATGACTAGCCAACTCTCTCCCTGCCTGAGTCTCGCCTGAGTCTAGAGTGCTGTCCACAGAGTAAGTTGAGTAATCGTTGCAGGGCTGTGGATTAGTCTTGCACTGACCAGCTCAAGACTTAACACCACAATGCCTGGTTTTCATCCTTAATCCCCACTTACTAGCTTTCTGACTCAGAGCATCTTATTTAAATTCCATGGGTTTTAAATTCTTCATAAGTAAGTATGGGAAAACCCAGAGTTTATGTATTTTTTAACTTAGAAAAGAACACAATGCAGAAAAGTGTCAAGGAGAATATAATTGATGATCATGTTTCTTGTATTCCATTCTAATTCCCATTATTCTTTTCTTGTTTAAGAATATTTCTCAAGAATTCAGAGATTTCAGTAAAGCCTTGGCCCCTCATGAACCAATCTTCAATCCTAATCTCTTTTCTAGCTCCCCAGGCGAGGCTACTACTCTGATTTTAACCTTTACTATTCCCTTGCAGTTATTTAGATTTCATCTGTAAGCAAAACGCAGTAGTTTGCATGTGATAAGACTTTATATAAATGATATCATGCTATAAATATCCTTCAGTGTTCTTCCTTTCTCATCATTGTACCTTTGAGATTTGTTTCTATAAACATATATTATTCAAGATTTTCTTAGATATCTTTTTCAGGTTTGGAAAATCCTTACTCTGCCTGCTTTGGTGAGTCTGTCATGGATGTATTTGGCTTTTCCTGTATATGCTATGATGCTGCTTTGCCCAGTATGTTAACACAGTAGATTACATTCACTGATTTTAAGTGATAAAGCACATTTGCATTCTTCATATAACCTCATTTTCTTGTGAATCATTATACTCCTTACATTTGATTTACTAAAATTTTGTTCTCTTTTCCTAGACTGTGTTTCTTGTGTTGGTAATTAGGATGATTCTGAACACATAACAAGTTGAGAATGTTCCTTTTTCTCACACACCTGCTTTGGTAAATAAAGCTTTATTAGAATCCAGTTACTGTCATCCATTTACATACCACTGGAGCTGCTTTCATGCTACAATTGTAAAGATTTTGTGGACAATATAGTCTAAAATATTAACTGTCTTCCTTCAAAGAAAAATACGATCAATCCAATCCCTGATCTAGCTTCAAGTTCACTGACTACCTCCATTGCGTTACTGATACTCTCTGGTGGTAGATTTTTTAAAATTTATATCATTATATTTTTAGTTATAGATGCTCCATTTTTATGAATAACTCCTATTTCTTTGATGTAACACCTACCTTTCCATTTTTCTCAAGGTTGTCCCTGACTTGATGGTGCTGCTTTAAGTCTGTGGGGTCATCCTAGCCTCTGCGTCAATTCGGCGTTAGTGTCTGCTGATGATCTTTTCCAATGAAAGGTTTGAGCTTTTCCATGGTCCTATTTCTTTGTATATCAATTAATTTTTAATTTCTCCTCAGACATTTTGAATATTACAGAACACAGTTTAAGGCTCCAGTCTGGTCAGAATCCAAGAATGTTGCATCTGTTTCATTTTGAAGCAATCCATACAGTTAGGTTTAGACAGTAAATCTCAGCTTGCCTTCTGTGGGCTGGGATCCTAATGCCTGATTAGGTTTCAAAGGTTTTGCAGTGCTGATAGTCTGTCTTATATGTATACTATCCAGTGGCCACTCAAACCTAGGAAGTGATCTATACTTCTGTGGCTCTGTTTCAGTGTTTTTGCTGTGTTGCTTTGGTTCAGTTCCTTGTATGAGACATGTAAGAGTGAGCTGAGAAACTGGATGATACTCCCTACACTCTTCCAAAGTTTTTACACCGGTCTCTGAGCTAGCACAGCAATTCCTACCACAAGTGTGCATGTCAAGACTCATGCCTTGCTCCTTGAATCTCTTTTTGCAGCCAAGAATTCATTAGGAGAAGGGAGAGAGCAAATCCAAACACAACATTCTCATGAGATTGCATGAAGTTAGGCTCACTCCCTGACTGACCATGTGCAATCACCTGTTTCGAGGTTTGGTGCCCTCCTTTGTACAGCAGCAAGCGTTGGATTGCAGCAGAGTTGAGGGCCCTTCCAGGCCCAACCCTTGTGTGAGGCTGCAATACTAAAAACCACCTACAGTAACAACTTGCTAATAAAAGAGTAAACCGTCCAGCAAAGGCCCATTCTCCTAGGGAAAACCTGACCTCAGCAAGTTCAGGGTGCCTCTTTGGAAATTATTGGCAACAGTCCCAAATTCAAGGTCAGATTGTGGGCAAAGTTTTTCAAAGAGTAGGAATTTAAAACTGAGAAGGGGGAACAAGGAGAGGAATATTTCACCCAACCAAGTAGGGACCTTTAGGATGACAGAAAGTTTGAATAGACTGTGGGGTCACTTAAACTCAGGTTCAACTCTCCATCCCCACTTGGTATAACCATAAATATGCCCCTAAAATTATTAGAGTCAGATCTTTCATCTATTAGAAAACAAGCTAACTATGTACAGTCACTTATGAAGCTTAAAAGGCCTGTGATAGTGTATATTCAAAACTGCCCATTTTTATTCTCGCACATTTTCTATTTAATGAGAATTAGAGATTACCAAGCAGACACATAGAAACTTAAGACTGATGTCTCCAGGTAAATACATCTATTAAAATGTGCTCTGGGAGCACATCTGTTGACTTGATAATCAGGCAGGTTTTACTTTGCTGTTTTTCCTCCCACAAATTACCGTCAATAAGTCAGTAGAATACAAGATTTGTACTTGAACTAAGCTGGGCTCCAAGGACAAAACGGCTTCTATTATTTGCTATTGTTGTTATTTGAAACAGGACATTCAAGGGTGTAAAGGCACTAAGTTGTAACCACATTATTCAACAACTTGGAGGAAAGAGAGGTGATTCTAATCCATGCCCCTGACACTGTGATTTTATAGCGAAGTTCATAGTAAGTCTTTTTTTACCATTTAAAAATTTTTAATACAGTTTCATAGGTTAAAGGATTCATAGTAATTTTGTGTGAGATTAGACATTGTTGTCTGTTTTAAACTTGTAGAAACTGAATACCTGGAGGATCAATAGCTTTCAACTAGTCCTACCTTTAAAAGGGACTGATTTAGGTATGACCCCCAAATTATGCTTTCCTTGTAAATTATCTTTCACATTATACATTCTCACCTAGACCTAAGATACTGCCCAGATCCTTACAGTTAGAGAAGTTACAGAACAAAGTTTGATCAATGGTATGTGATCAGAATGGGCAAAAAGGGCCTCAAGGGAGGATCACAAAGGAATACAGTGAATATCCCTTCGTTGCCTCTAACTTCTTCTGATGCTATATTGGAACCAAATGTGAATCACTGATTTCCAGAAGACATGCTGAACCTTAAAGTGACCTTAAAGATGGGAGCCATGTGCTAGAATGGGAGCAGGAAAGAGGGGCCCTGATAACTGTAGCTTCAACCAACCCTGGATCTTCTGAAATCTGTTATATAAGAAGTCTCTGAAATGTTTGTGGAAAACTGAATTAAAGGGTAAATTTATGCGGACACAAAAAAAATTGAAATCCAAGCATAGATTTTTTTGGTAATATATATTTTCCATTTACTTTTTGAAGACCCACTCACACGTTAGCAGGGATCTGAATATGTTTAAGCCACTGTAAGGAGACTGATAAATATTGATGAGGTAGAGGCTGGCAAGATGGCTCAATTGGCTAACTCTCCACCTACAAACACCGATAACACATGTCAGTGTCCATTTGAATCCAGCTCCGCGCTTGTGGTCTGGAAAGCATAGATTATGGCCCAAGTCTTTGGGACCCTGCATGCATGTGGGAGACCTAAAAGAAGAACCTGGCTCCTGGCTTCAGATCGGCTCATTTCCAGTCTTTGTGGCCATTTGCACAGTGAACCAGAGGATGGAAGATCCTTCTCTCTGTCTCTCCTTCTTCTATCTGTGAATCTGCCTTTCCAATAAAAACAAATAAATGTTTTTAAATTTACCTTGGTAAGGTGTTTCCTCAATCACTGTGAGACTTAAAATAGGTGGTTCAGACACTTGAGATTTCAGGTACTTCTTTTAACCTGGAAAAAGGGTAGACTGAATTAAAGTAAGTTTCCAAATTTCTTTGATACTTGGCATGCCAGTGTGACTACTGGATAGTTGTCACTAATAAAACACATACACCGTACACACAAACCGCATCAATCCAGAGTCCTTTGTTTAAGAACTTTCACAATAGTTAGAAAGACAACCAGCCCACGCATTGATTTACTAAATTGATTTTTCATTCACTAATTCATTCTGGATAGTAGATGTTGTGGTGTGCCACCATATACACACTTAAGATCATTCTCATAATTGCCAACAGTGCTTGTAGAAAACAGTTCACAGCTGATTTTCTCTTCAAAAATTGTCCTCAGCTGAAGGATATGATTCAAGCCAATTTATACCACTTTCTAGAGCCAGCCTGTATCTATCAAAGCACTGATGTGGAAGGTCCAAAAGCCTAGATTCTTTGCCTCCATTTGTTGCTACTGAAAAGTACCATCCAAATTATAAAGCCTCAGGCAACCAAATCTCAATTAAACTTCCTGCTGCACCCCAGCCTGGTTTGCTTGCTCCATCATAGGTGATATGTCCCAAAGTACTTGAAGATAAGCTCTCTGCATGTAAGTATCTGCCTCAGAGGCATCCAATGCAAGACATTTGGCACCAGGAGTGGCTGTACTTTGAGATTTGGGGATTGGCTCACCTGCCAGCTGTTTGGTAGTTAGCATTCTGCCCCTGAGGTTGGGAGAGTACTAACAGCACCTGGCATGCCACGGCCCCTCAATTATGAAAATTCTTACTCTTGGGAAGCTGGCATTGAATTGTAGTGAAAGAAAAGGAATCTATAGGTGCAAGCTGTCAGATATTCAGTAAATATGAAGAAGACATTTTTAGAAATTTTATTTGGACAAGAATTGTGGTTTAACGGGTTAAGCTGCCACCTGCAATGCTAGCATGCATGTGGGCATCAGTTCAAGCTCTAACAGCTTTCTGATGTAGCTCCATGCTACTGCACCTAGGAAAGCAGCAGAAGATGGCTCAACTTCTTGGGCTCCTGCAACCATGTTGGGGACCGAAAACAGGCTGCTGGCTCCTAGCATCTGGTTTGGCCTGATCTGACCCCAGAAGCCATTTAGGAAATCATCAGATGATGATAAAACTCAGATGATTGAGCCTGGCGTTATGGCACTAGCACCATAGGTTAAGTCTGTGATGGTGGCATCCCATGTGAGTGTTGCTACAAGTCCCAGCTGCCCCACTTCTGACTTAGCTCCTGCTAACGTGGCTGGAAAAGCAGTAGGAAGTGCTCCATGTTTTTAAGTCATTTCCACTCTCATGGAAGACCCAGATGGAGTTACAAGATACTGATTTTGGCTATCGTAGAACTTGGAGAGTGAACTAGCAGATGAAAGAAGTGTGTGTGTGTGTGTCTTTATCATTCGCTGTAACTCTTCTAAATAAAAAAGCCTCAAGTGATAATATCTGCTCAGGTAGGGTATTATCACATTTCAGTTAAAGTAAGATCACACTAAAAATGTCTAGTCCAGTTAATGCATTATAGACACTCAGTGCAAGCTCATTTCTTTTCCTTCTTATGAGTCCACCTGCCACTCTTGTCAACTCCCTTTTGTAAACTTGCTCTAAATCTGGATTAAAGTCAAATAAGAAAATTGTTTCCCACCGCCCCATCTTCTTCTTCTGTGTCTCATTTGCAAGTGAAACCTGGGCTAAAGGAGGTGTTTGAGTCTTTGTTTCTGTCACTCACTTTTGATGGTTTCTACACTGTGTGTTGCCTTAACAGTTAGAATTTGCCCCATTAAAAGCTATGGAAGACCATACCTTTGGTCCCCAAGTTGCTGGAAATGCTGGAACCACAGTATCTTCCCTGGGATAAATTGTCTTCAATCTGCCATATCTTTGAGAAGTGAGTAAACACAAAGGAGAATGAGTTCACCTGTGAAATGATAACAGCAAAATATTTCATCTTTACTATAGGTCAAATGCAAACATTAGACCTGGCTCGGGAGACAACAAAGACCATGACTCAGACTCAGCAAGCTCAGAGTCTAACGGGAGAACCCAACTGGCAGGTAGGCAATCACAGTCATGTGCCAGGAGACCTAATCAAGTACACTGAGAGCAGCTGCCTTCATCCAAGAGTCAGGAGGCTCTCAAACAGGCAACCGTTGGCCTGAGCCTGCAGAATGAAATGGACAAGGGTGAGGGGGATGGCATTTCAGACAGAGGGAACAGTATGTACAAGGCACAAGGGTCAGGACAAAATAGGAACGCCTGATTGACTACAAGTTGTTCACTCGATTCTGGGAAAGTGGAGTGCAGGAGTGATAGGCAGGTCACACAGGGACTGTCTGTCCTGGTTTGCTTGCTCAGTGTGAGTCTAGTTTAGGCCAGTTATCCTAGTATTCTCACCTTTCACTCCCCAAAGTGATCCCATTTGGCAACCATTTGCAGCTACCTGATTTTAAGTAGGAGAGGAACACGAGCAAGCCTTTAGATTAGAATGATCATTAAGCTGCCAGATAGCTTAATTTGAGTGGGTAAGACTAGTGGCTTCCTAATGACTTTTTATGGTTATGTCTAACCCTGGCACTCTCTGATTCAGACAATTCTGCACCACACCTAGCATAACACAAAGCTGGTTTTACAGCTGGAAAAAAATCCTAATGAGCTCTTAACTGTGACAGTGTTTGGAGAAAGATGACATCTCTGATCAGAGAGGCTCTGGGCAGGATTCCTAGAAAACTTCAGTCTGGACCTCCCATCTTAGCTGGGTCAATGTTTTAACTGAGAGGCAAGAGGTAGACCTGGTGTGAACCAAACTACAAAGGTAGGGATTATCAGAGTGCAGTCACAATAGCCACTCTAACAAAACATGCCAGCAACTACAACTGCCACCCAATAATATTAACAACTTACATGCATTTCCTCTTTTGTTATTTCTCCAAATGTTCTCCATGTCTCTGGGCAGTAGGAAAACAGTGCATCAATCTGTGCGTTTCAAGAACTCTTCGGAGCTTTGCGCAGTGGCAGTATCATGGCCAATGAGGTTTATCTGAGTTACGATTATTGCTAATTGAAAATTTTTCCCAAGAGCATTGGGTATAGCCCTGGAAGTCTTTGAATAGGCAGAGAAGCACGTGTGGAGTCGGCCTCTTCCTCTATTCCGGGCTCCCAAAACTATGCATCCTTACAGCTGCAGGGCTTGGAACAGAGAAGATGTGTTGTTGATGGGTGAATGGACTAGAGAGAATATAGAGTCTCAGTGGCTTTAGTTATTTGCTCAAGTCACTAATGAGTAGCAAGTGGTGGCAATGGACCTTGAGATCAAGACAATAAAATCCTCTTATTGCCACTGTACCATGTGATCACAAGCACAAATCATAATTTAAAACACAGACAATACAGTATTGTGAGGCATTGCAGGTGAGAAGTGATTCTAAACTATGTAGGTTTGCACCTTTCATCTTCTCCTTTTAAAGGGACTTCCTCTTTGCATAACTCTGGGTCTTTGCACAGCCATCAGCCCAGCATGATATTCCACTCTGTTGCTCCATAAAATTTCACACAGCTAACCAGTGCCAGGTGGAGTAAACCTTTTTGGTTTTCTCTCCATCTTGCTGGATGAGTGAGTGACCACTTCTCAACATCACAGGATCATGCTCAAACAGTCGATGTCAGCAGGTGGGCTGTCTTGTGAAGAGGGACACTTGCAAAACAGAACACATGCTGGTGTCTCTTCCCTGTCACACTGTAAGGTCCTTGAAGGCAGAAGATTCTAGGTTATTTTGCTTTATATCCACAACATTCCAGATGACTCCTGGTACATTATAAGGCTTTGCTGAATATTTATTGAATGAATGGACATACTTAGCTCTTACCCAGAGGGCTTGCTGTGATAATATCCTAATTGTAGCCTTGACCATCTAGGTTGCAATGGGGTTTAGGACTTGGGAGGCCCTAACAGGAGGAGATCAGAGGCTAGGAGGAAGGAAGTGAGCTCTTTATTCTCTTTGATTTTCAAATTTGAAGAGCTGTGCATTGATTTGTTGGGGCTGCTTAACTCAATGGCAAAGATGAGGTGATTTGGACAGCAGACACTGATGTTTTTCATAGCCCCATTAGCAAGCATTCTGAAATCACTGTGTGAAGGTTTGCTTCTTCTCAGGTCGCTCCTTGGTTTCTGGGTACCATTGTCTCCCTGTTCTTCATATGGCCTTCTCTCCAATTATGTCCAAGTTTCTTCTCATAGAAACACAAATTGCTTTGGATAAGGTATCACATAAATGAACTCACTTTAAAAGTATGGCAATGAAGATCCTATCCCCAAGTAGAGTTACATTCTGAGATATTGTGACTGAGGACTCCAACAATTTTACAAGATCAGGTTCAACTCATAAGAGATGTTAGTAGAACCAAATTGTTGAGCTCCTGATCTCAGTCCCTAACCCTGCCACACCCTCATAATAGTGTCTTTATGAGTTCTATTTCACTTGAATATCTATAGATATGCTGATTATTTGGGGGCAGGTGCAGACAGTAATGGTTATGGTGGTAATAGTCTATAATCACTGTTATGTTCCTTGTAAAGCGAGCTCAATGCCAAGCTCTGAGAAATGCAAAGTCAAAGAATCTTTCCCTGCTGATGTCTTATTCTCTCATTTAAAAGCTGGCCCCATCCCACAACCTGTGTGAGAGTCCACAGGAGCAGGACGGAATGCTGCTTTGCACACTAGATGATCAGTAGCAGAAAAGGTGATTTTTGTCCACTGACTGGGCCCACATTTCCAGGAGTGGAGAATGACTGTAACTAGATTCTCAGGAGCCTCTGGCGTAAAGCTGTAAAAAAAGGGAGGGATATCCCATGTGTTCAGGCCCAGCTGCTAGCAACAGGAGAGTTAAAGGAATGTGGGTGAGGCATGTTTAATGGTCCTTCGTCAATAGGGCCGCTTGTCAGAATAAGTTCTAGACACTGGGGAGGGCCTCTTTGCTCCTCCTTGGTAATAATGACCTACCTCACAGACTTGCTGGGTAGCTATGGAAAACAGTCCAGGCAGAGATCCTGGATACGTTTATTTATGTTGATGTTGACATGGAGAGGACCAGTATGTTCATGCAGAGGCCATGTTCCCTGTTCTATAAACATCTTCCATGTGAGAAGAGGCTTCGATGTGTCCATGAGCACAATTTATAGTTTGCTCTGTGCCAACATAAATCAAGTGTGCGTGCCATCCTCATGAAGTCATGCAGATCATAGAGTTAGACTGGTGAGGAACTGCCAGCAGAGTAGATTCCAAGGCAACTCATTCTTACACTCCTGTGAGCAGTTATCCTTGATCCCTGGGAGCAAGGAGGCCCAATCTGGCCATGATATGCTATGGAAAAGGCATGGGCTTTGGTGTTGGAAAGCTTGGGTGTACACCTGGCATAGGACTATGTTGGTGAATGCCTTAAACCTTAATTTTCTACTCTTTTAAGATGGATTAACAAAGTAACCTCAAGAGACTGCTGGGGCAGGATTAAATATGGTCACAGGGCCTTAGAAGGTGATATATATCAACTCTTTTTCCAAGCTCCTGAGGTTTTAGTCTGTCTTTGTGAAATCTTAAGTTGGTTTCTAGGTTGGCAAAGATTGAACCCACCACCTTTAAGCACTTGCCATGTGAGACAATGTACATTACATAAGCCTCAATCAGGAATTCTAGCTGCCTTATAACAGCAGAAAACACACATTATATATCTCTGATGACTCAGCCTTGAGGGTATTGTGGATTCAAATGATCTTACTGGTCCCAAGTCTGCTGTTCACTGGGCATAAGTCCTTGTGCAATCATTCCCCCAACTCTTGGTCTGTCTCTCCATGGAAGGAAGGAAGGAAGGAAGGAAGGAAGGAAGGAAGGAAGGAAGGAAAGAAAAAAAAGGGAAGGGAAGGAAAGGAAAGGAAAGGAAAGGAAAGGAAAGGGAAGGAAAGGAAAGGAAAGGAAAGGAAAGGAAAGGAAAGGAAAGGAAAGGAAAGGAAAGGAAAGGAAAGGAAAGGAAAGGAAAGGAAAGGAAAGGAAAGGAAAGGAAAGGAAAGGAAAGGAAAGGAAAGAAGAGGAAGGAAGAAGCTATCACCCAATCCAAAGAAACTCATAGCAGGATGGAGGAAGATTCAGTGAGAGAATAAGGGAGAAGCAGCTTGCAACAGCTGCTATCAGGCATCTCAGTCTATCGGGAGCCACAAAAAAAAAATGCCTGTTTTTGCTACCTCAGTTCAGCAAAAGGCACCAACATCATCAATTTACCCATGGCTTCTCACCCACCACATGCAATGAAGTAGTAGTTCGTTGTGACTCTACTTCCTTAGTTGTAAGCGTTTTGATCTGAAATATATTTATTTAATATATTTATGCTTCTATTTTGTATTTTTAAGATTTATTCTTATTAGAAAGTCAAATACACAGAGAGGAGGAGAGACAGAGAGGAAGATTTCCCGTCCGATGATTCACTCCCCAAGTGACCACAATGGCTAGAGCTGTGCCAATCCAAAGCCAGGATCCAGGAGCTTCTTTCAGGTCTCCCACATGTGTGCAGGGTCCCAAGGATGTGGGCCATCCTCAACTGCTTTCCCAGGCCAAAAGCAGGGAGCTGGATGGGAAGTGGGGCAGCTGGGATTAGAACCGGTGCCCATATGGGATCCTGGCATGTTCAAGGTGAGGACTTTAGACACTAGGCTACCATACTGGGTCCCTATATCCCTGTTTTAAAATACATTTGATATATTTCAATGTTATGCAGTTCTTGCACAAAAAATTTTTATATTTTTCCCCAAATTTCCCAAACTGTACCAGGTTTAGGTTCTCTCTCTCTCCCCTCTTCCTCCTCCTTCTCTCTTCCTCTCTCTTATCTCTGTTTCTCTCCCCCCTTTTTCTCTCTCTTCATATTAAGTATGTATATATTTCCATGTATATGTGTTCCTAGTGTACTTCCTGGTAATGCAGGATTCAGCTAAAATAATTCCTAAAGACAGTTTTCCTTAGCACATGACCCCTCCCTATGGCATTGTCCCAAGGACAGCTTTCTGTAGAGCACTGAACTCCAGCTATTATTTTTCGTGGCTATTTTTTTAGATTTGTTCATTTTTTTGGCAGGAGTGATTTTTTAATTTCTTTTTATTATTATCATTTTATGATACAGTTCCATAGGCCCTGGGATTTCCCTTATCTCCTCCTCAATTCCCTCCCTCCTCTCTGAGTTCCCCTATATCATTACTATAGCATAGTTCTTCATACACAGTCATTTGTCCATCATTGAGGGCATGGACAATAGCAAATAGTCCAGCATGCTGTTGTCAAGATAAAGTAAACAGTTTCATTGGGAGTCCATCTTTATCTGGAAGTAGAGATGCATGCTGCATTGTATCCTCACATCTGAATATGATAGTCTCTATTACACAGTTACTATACATCTCCTTAAATGAAAAGCCACAATACAAAATCAACAACAGCAAGAAAAAGGAAATTAATAACACCATGAAGTTAAATAACATGCTACTAAATGACTAACATGTGTCACCAAAGAAATGAAAAAGAAAATCCAGAAACCTCTTGAAGAAAATGATGCTTCTGTATGATCTATGAGACGCTGAAGAATTTAATGAGAAGAAAGAGTTTTGAAGAGATGAAACTAACAAAAAAAATCAAAACCCATGAGATACAGTTTCTGCTTATCTTTGTTGGCTATTTTATTCACTGGTTACTTCCCTGCCATGCTTTAAGATTGAAGTCTTGTGGGAAAACTGATCTTGTGTCCTTTGCCATATACACAGCTGCAAACTCAGAGTCTAGAACAGATCCTACACAGAGCTGGCAGTTCACCACCTTTGTGCTGACTTAGCAAACTGGGAAAGCACTCTTTGGGTGTGTAGTTTGCAAAGAGGCTTACAGTGTGGTCTGCACATTCCAGGCACAGACATTCTCAAAGCCTACTCTGGCTGGGAATTTCACTCATATCACAGAAATATGTGTTGTCCTAAGAGAGGATTATGTCAAACACAACTAGCACTTAGAAGTGAATCTTCTGAGAGACAAGGAGGAAACTACACAAACACACATGCATGGACGAGAGACTGTGACAGCCTAGAGGTGCATGGAGTCAAGCCATATCAGGCACATGGATTCTGTTGCTTACCATTACATGACCTCAGACGAGTGGCTCAGACACTGCATGTCTGGCTCCTTCTGTATAAAGTAGGAATAAAAAAAAGTCTTTACAAGCTTGTTGCATAATTAACTGTATTCAAACCTCTTAAATGCTTAGAACCATACCTGACTTACAAGCATGGTAATACTCAGTTTCACTATTTAGAGGAAACAGTACATAGTGGCCTAAAGGTTTTTATTACCTGGTGAAATATGCTGAATATCCCATATCAGGAAATCTTGACATGTGATTACTAATGGCTCACACTTTTCTGTCATATAGATACTAGTTTGCTAGCCTACCCATTTGTTGAATACTTAAATTGCTCCTAATCATTCCCTATTATCAACAGCACTACTATCAATGTCCTTATATGCTTATTTTCCACACATCAGCAACTATTTCTTCTTACTGTATTCTTAGAAGTAGAACTCTAATCTGAAATACAGATTCCAAGTTCCTGAGACATGATGTCCTAGCAGAGGTGTTGCCTGAGGAACCAAGTTGAGAGGCCAGGGTGGTTTCTTACCTCAGCCGTTTCCTTGCTACCTGATCTCCTGGTCCCAGCCAGGCTTCAGTCAAGGGTAATCTACAAGCCCCTATCATCCTGTTTGCTCAGCTCTGGGAAGGAACATTGCCTGATGCTTTCTCTTCTAGGGAATATCTGCGACATTTGCTTTCAACTTCATCTACGAGAATAAAAGCAACATATCCCCCATGCCTGATCTTTCTCCTGTGGCCAGTTGTCACATCTTACTTACAGAAGCATCTGTGCTTTCTGATCCTTTTTAACTGTGTCTATTCCACCCTCAGTGGACACTAAGAACAAAAGGGAACACACAAGGGGAAATAACACATGACTGGAAAGATTGAGATGCTGTGTTGCCCCAGAAGTTTCTTTCCCCAATTGATAGGTATGGATTGAAGCAGAACGATCCTCCTGGAAGAAGTAGCACTCTTCTCACAGGGGCTCACAGGGGCTGAGTGTCCCTGAACAGCTCCCCAGTGAAAGGAAGACCACTCCTGTCTTCTTGAAAGTCTGAACCAGTCTTACTCATCTCACCAACTTCACTGATTTAAAATGGATTAATTGTTCCAGAAGGAAAACAGTGGGTTCGAGGCTGGTACTCAGGTTGACAAGGGGAAATGGACTGACTGTGGCAGGGCTCCTTGATAATGGCAAAACAACCTGTCGTAGCTGATATTTCTGGTGAAATACCCTTAGCTGATATTTCTGCTGAAAGAACACCTGAAAGAGCAAAAAGAAAAAGATTCAAACAACTTTACTGCAAAAATCTGGTTAAAGAAAGTTTAACGAGTGGCCCCCTTTGAGGGAAGAATAGCATGAGTGGATGTAGGCCTTTGGCAAGCCTAAAGCCTATACAATTTTGGGTGATGGATCTAAGAAAAGAATCACAGGAGCTAGTGTTGTGGGATAGTAGGTAAAGCCTTTACATTATGAGCACAGGTTGAAGTTCCCAGCTGTTCCACTTCCAATTCAACTCTCTGCTAATGTGCAGAAGAAAGCAACAGAAGATGGCCCAAGCATATACCCATGTAGAATACCTGCATGAAGTTCCTGGCTCTTGGATTCAGCCTGGTCCTGCCCCAGACATTGTGGCCATTCACTGACTGAACTAATTAGTGGATCCACAATGGTGAGGCCTTGCTCAGAAGCCCTAAACATTAAAGGGCTCTGCAACCTAATTATTTATATGCTCATTATCACTGACATATCTGGGCACCAAAGATCAGAAATGGACTCTTTTTTAAGCTCTTTTCCTTATAAGCTCCAAGCATTTGGGGCAGCCCTCCATTTTTGTAACTGAAATAGAATTTTTTGCCTAAAATTGGGGAGGGATGCCAAGTCAGGTTATTTGATTTAAAAATACAAGTAAATATGTTTTAAAAATTAAACATAATACTTCTGGGTAGCATTGCCATAAGGCATCTTACCTACCTTGTACTCAAGAAATATCTTTAAAAAGAAATCCATTAAGGGCTGGCTGCAATTTACGTTGACTCCATCCTGTATTGGAGCACCACTCTGAGTACCGGCTGCTCTACTTTTTTTTTCATTTTTTAATTTTTTTTAAATGATACAGTTCCATATGTTCAGGGATTTCTCCTCCCCTTGCATTCCTCTACTCCCTCCCCAATGATTTCCTCCATATTATTACAGTAGTACATTCCTTCAACAACAGTCACAAGTCCATCATTCCGCAACTTAAGTGTACCTTGACATTGTAGATTCATGATCCTACTAACATTCCTGGGAAGGCAGTGAAGATGGCCCAAGTACTTGGGTTCCTGTCACCCATGTGGGAGACAAGGATGAAGTTCCTGGCTCCTCGTTTTGACCTCATTCATCTTTAGTGATTGCAACCATCTGGGGAGTAAGCCAGTAGATAATAAAATATCTCTCCGCATCTCTTGCTCACTCTGTCACTCTTTCAAATAACACAATTACAAATAACACAAATTACACATTCTGAGAAAATCATTCCCTTTCATGAGTATCAGATTCACTACTTCTAATAAAAAATGATAATCTTATTGGTTCAGTGTGAAAATGGGATGAACTAAAAGAAGACAGATCCTGTCCCAGGGGAACCCAACCCTTGGGTGGTTGCTGGAAAGACAGACTGGCTGATCCAGCTTCAGTCCTCTGCTTTATCCCTTTCTTGTTTGACCTTGCTTGGGTTTAATAAAGGAGTTAGTCATATATAACTGAACTTTGTAAAGAAGGCTTGAGACCTCTTAGCTCGCAAACAGGAGAGGCTCACTTGGATTGTGAAGTTCTAGATCGTCGACTGACTTTAGGACCAAGTTTTACAGTACCAGATCACTGGGGTGAATGTGAGTTCTGGCCCTTCCTGGCTGTTTGTTCTTGCAAATCTTCCAAACTCTGAGACCCTGAGTTGCCAGCAAGACTTGAAGAGAAGGCCAGAAAGATTGACACATACCCACACAGAGGTCCAGTAAGTGGAAACATACTCAGCTATGCCTTGCCCTGCTTCATGTGTAAGACCTCCTCTTCTCCCCTGACAATTTACTTCTGAATCCTTCCTCTCTGCCAGAGACCAACTTCAAGGTCCAACCAAAGAGGGATAAGGGTGCTTCCCCTTCCACTTCATTTGACTGAATTCTATTTTAGGGCCAGTCCTCCTTCAGGAAGGAAATTTCAACCACTTCCCTCTAGGAGAGATTTTTTTTTTTTTACCATGTCTGATATTCTTAACCTCTGGCCAAATGCCTGACTATGAGCAGTTAGACTTCTTCGACTGAGAGCTGTTGTGTAGCACTTTCTCCAGCTTCCTGTGAAGACTCTAGCCAGTGGGTCTGGTTCAAAAAATATGGCTCTCATTCCAAAGTCCCTCCCATCATCCTTCCTGGAGCTTTCCTTGCTATTAGGATCCTCCATTGTCTGGAAAGCCTGCTGTCCAAACAATGAGCCACACTCCAGGGACGTTGGTCCAGTGCCATCACTTGTCCCAGGACAGGTGTGCCACTCCCAGACACATTCTGCTGTTGTCAGTTCAGAGGAAGATAAGACAGTCATCTTGCTAGCTCATACTGACCCTTATATTGTGTGGCGGGAGACTTGGGAGGGTGGGGCTCTACTCTGCCAGAAATACAGCAGCATCAGAGATGTCTGAAAGCTCCCTTCACCATATGCAGGGCCAAAGTGACCTGAAGGTTCTCCGGGGAAATTCTCCTACTGCTCCTTCTCCCAAACAAAAGTTTCAACTTCAGTGCTTCTGTTTAAGTCTCTCCTTCAAAAAGCCCCTATAATAATGACAGCCATTGAAAAACACAGTGCTTGCTCTGAAGATTTGTTGAAGACTGTGTGAAAGTGCATAATTACCAGGAAAAAAAAAAAACTTAGCTTCCTTGGAGATATTGAGCCAGATGAAGAACCACAGGAGAGAAAAGAGAAGTATTCCCAGAGGAGGGAACAGGTCATACACAGGGTGAGAACCAACTCAACAATGTAGAGCCCTTTCATCACAAGTTGCATTACAATGTTCATGAGGGAGCAGCAGAAGAGTCTGAAAAGAGGACAGAGCATTGCTGTGGGCACTTTGACCTTGAGCGTCCCTATACAGAAAGAGAAGCCTCTACCTGGTGATCATCTGGGGAAGTCTGCACTGCACTCTGGAGTCAAGAAGCTCACCAAACCCAGGGAGCAGGATCAACACCCAAGAACTCAAACACAGCTCAGCCTGAGCCTGGGACTCCTAGCTTTACAGCAGATCCTCTGACTAACACTTGAAGAAAACAGTCTTAAAAGTAAGACAAATATTTAGTTTTAAGAGCTCAGCCTACAAATTAGGAAGAATGGGAAACTGGAACATCAGATGCATAACTTTGTTCTCCCTAATTTGAAGCAGACTTTGTATTCTGGGGGAAGATAGCTTGAAATCCTTCTGCCTGCTCAGTAATAAGGTGGAACCCACTTCTAAAGTGCCAGTATTTTATGGTATAGGCAACAAAATTTAATGAGGCAGCAAAAAAGAGAGAAGTGACGTCAATAGGGCTTTCTCCAAGAACCTAAATCAATGTAGTGCTGATTCAACTGTAGTCCCTCCTATCTTAGTTATAGTAGAAGGGAATTTCTCTGGTCTGGTTTTCCTTTGCCCTGGCAATAATGTATTCATTCTGGGAAAGAAAAACCAAAGTTTCTCTGCAAAAGGAAATAGGATTCTCTGTTCCTCCTTCCATCCCTTTCAGATCTGCTCCTGGCTGAGTCTCATCTCTGCATTTGCCCTTTGTCTACATGCAACGCTCACCACCACACGTACCCCTACAATGAAACCACTGATTGTTTTTTCAATGAAGAAAACAAGGCTCAGAGACATTCCATGGTTCTGATAAGGTCACAGAGCTCAGATAATACTTATTTGACTAGTGAGTTGTCCCCTTCTTACGCCCAAGGCCATGGCCTTTTCCCCTCCCCCACTGCCTCCAGAGAATTAATTACTTCAGAAAATTAATTAACAGTAAGTAGATATCTATACACAATGTCTCTGAATGGAGTG